GACATTGGTAGCAGACATTGTATAATCTAGCTCTATCTATGTCCCCAAACTTGTGCCCCAATTGCTCATATCTAACTGTCTTCTAGTTCTCTGGTCCAGTGCCAGCTCTCCAGATGCTCCTCCCATCTCGGGGTCTATATGCTCAACTTTCTTCTTAGGCAGTCAGAGAAAGCTCCTCCTGTGGTCACTCCCATTATCTTACAGCTCTTAGCTTCCTGGCACCTGGGTCACTTTCTCTACAGTAATGACCAGCATCCAAGCAACCATCTGCTCTTTTGTTCATCTCTGTTTGGAGGCTTTTCTTCCTGTAAGTTCCATGAAGCTGAGGATCTCACTCACTCATTCTGCAGCCTCCACATCTAGCCAGTATTTAAACTCATTCAAGTGTTTAGGGAATGAATAATTCAAAGAAAATTATCTTTTAAAAAAATACTATTAACAACTTTACTAAGGAGGAAAAAAAAGACACCTCATAATTTTTAGAGGATGGGATTAGAGATTCTAAAATATACTGGAATTAGCGCACGCTTTTCCAGTGTAAGCAAGACATTTGCTCTCATTAGCAGTAGAGAGCCAGAGAGCTGGGGAATCGCACTGGTTCCTACCTCCCATCAGGCAGCATTGATGGACCTGGCAAATGCATCCTCATTCCACAGGGTTCTTACACCAGGGAAGAATGATGGTGTACAAGAGAGGGCAGAGGGCACAAGAGTCACTAGGCTGAGCTTGTCTGTGCAGACAATAGAAAAACCTGCAATGACTGTGAAGCTGGAGATCTTGGCACTCAAGTGGGCGATTTGTGAGGTAGAACAAGAAATAACATTTTCATTGAGATGATTTTCCTAACCATGCCAGATCTTAAACCACTAAAGAGAGGAAACCATCTTCATTTGAGCACTAAACTGATAGTGAAAAAACTAAGCCTGGTATACTGGGAATGTGTTTACTAATCATTTCTCCATTCCATTTACATTTGGCAAAAGAAGGATCATTTGAAATGTCTTCTCTTCCTATGATGGCTTAATATCTGGGGGCAGAGGTATTAGCTAAACAAACCTTTAAATCTAATGAATAATGAGCTACTTACAATGTTATGTTTAACTGTGGACTGTTTGATGCTGTGGTCTTCAGTGGAAACCTTCAAATGATAAAGTACTTATGACTTCTTTAAATGAAATACTTTATGTGTTTGTTTTGAGTTCATACAGCAGCTATGAGATTAAAAAAAAAAAAGACTTGGGATACATACCTAGTCTCACATACCCAAGTACATAACTAAGTACTATGGTTTAATATGCCAACATGCTTTTGCTTTAAGTATATTTGTGATATATATATATATATATATATATATATATATATATATATATATATTAAAGGAGCCTGAATTACTAAGTAACTATTTTAAAAATACAAAATAATACACTAACAGGACATTTGCTGTTTTAACCCTTTTATTTTGAATCATCATCTTTTTCTCTACTATATATAATGTATCAATCTGTGGGGGTGTAGAATAACATCCAAATAGATCTTAACTTCTGGAAAAACCATAATTACTCAATAAAACGGGGTGAAGGGTATTCTAATGGTTCATGGGGGGAGGACTCCTTAATTTATTCATTCAATAACTATGAGTGGTGCCGTGTCAATGGGAGGGGACAAAGGTGATGCAGAGATGTAAGAGAGTTCTAATGCTCTTTCTACTCTAGGAAAATGGATAGCAACAGAAACCCAAGTGACTGCTTTATTATGTAACTGTAGCCTTACAAACTTACAATGGCACAATCACCCTTTGCACTGACCACATTAACAGTGAAGTAGGCTCCAGTGTGACAGACAGGTGTGTTTGGGGGTAAAGACATAAGCAGGAGGCTGGAATGCTGGTGGTACTAACCAGCTTCCTCCTTCCACGTGCCTATCCTCTTATCTGGTTCAACACAGACAGCAAATGTACTTCCTGCTCAGTTTCTCTTGTACTGTTCACTCTTAAGAAAGGTACCTGGCCTCAGGGTGTCCACATGCTTCTTTCCTTTCCCTGCCATTCTCTGATCCTATTACTCATTGATTATTGATGAATTGGTTTATTTGGGTCTAGGGAACACAATGCACCAAAGTTTCTTTGGCTAGTGGAGATGATACTGTCCATTAGTATGATGACTGCATTCTAACAGTACATGGCAGCTCATCACATACTGGAATACCTTCTATGGAAAGAAACGGACGTTTTATCTTAACATACCATGGATGCATATCAAAGACTAAGATACCCCCTGAGAGGGAGAACATGCATGAAAATACTCAAAGGCAAGAAAGAAAATGAGTATGTGATGGACTTCGGTCATGTGACTTTCACAGGATCTTTTGAGACTTCACTGGTCTTTAAAGTGAATCTCTTCTTCCACTTGTAATGAAATGATTATTTCAAGTTGGAATACCAACCGTCTCTGAAGTGGGGTACCTGCTTCTCTGAACAACTGTAAGATGTCACAAAGATGTTAACTAAGTAAGAATAAATGACATTACTGTGGACATTTATGTGCATATTCTAAGCTGCATCCTAAGACACTGTAAAGAATAAAGCAAGCAAGTGGGGATAATTGAGAGAAGAAAGAAGAATTGTTCACCAAGTAATTCTGGGGATAGAAGTGTAGCTCCGTGGTAGAGCACCTGCCTAGCACACCCAAGGTCCTGAGTTCAATGTCCAGTACACCACCTACCCACAAAAGTGACAAAGTGATTTGTGTGAACACCATTTGTATGAATATCTCACAGTATGCTACATTTCTACGTGGATGTTTTAGTCAAGTCACACAACTACAAAATATCAGCTAATTCAGATATAATTTATGGTATCAGATGACCTAAGAACACAAGCCAGGAGAAGAAGAACAACCTGCCTTGGGTTGGAGATTAACAGGCTGAAACATCACCAATGGTGTCATTTAGAAGTACCATTCAGGGTCATTTCTTTTTTAATTTTACCCAGTGGGGAAGAACTTCTGTCCCCCTGTGGATCCATATCACCTTTAATAAAACAACTCACTATAGCCAGGCAGTGGTGGCACATGTCTTTAATCCCAGCACTCTGGAGGCAGAGCCAGGAAGATCTCTGTGAGTTTGAGGCCAGCCTGATCTACAGAGTGAGATCCAGGACAGGCACCAAGACTACACAGAGAAACCCTGTCTCAGAAAAAAAAAAAAAAAAAAAAAAAAAAAAAAGAACGAAAGAAAGAAAAAAAACAACCCACTGGATGTCTTACCTACAGCTGTTAAATATGCAGATTAGGGCCAAAGCTGGGATTTGACTACATACAGACAGATGCTGGAAGCCTACACTTGTGACTACACTGGCTGACCCTGAGACACTGCAGACTCCACTCTATCTATTGATAACATTGGCTGACCCTGAGACTCTGCAGACCCCACTCTATCTATTTGATAACATTGGCTGACACTGAGCTCCCCCAGACCCCACTCCATCTATTGATTACATTGGCTGACCTTGAGACACCCCAGACCCCACACTATGTACTGACTATAGTCACAGAAGCAGGTGTTTGTTTCATCCTGTTCCCACTTTTCATTGGCCATATAAAAAAGAACAGCAGAAAATGAGAATCATGATTTATAATAATAATGCTAATTTGCCTGTCAATGAGAACTGCTGATAATTGAACTAGAAAAGAATCAAAACTGCACTGGAAAATGTTCTAGTGGAACAATGGTATCAGTTATTCTTAATAAATATGGAGACAGCACTTTATTTATGTGTATTTTTTCTGAACTGTCTGAACTGTTGAAGTTTCCCAGACATGTAAAGTCACCATGAAAAGCTCAACTAATAACTAGAGCTCTTGCTCATTCATAAAAACTAAAGTACATTCTTACTTATTAAGAGCAAGGTTCGTGAAAACAGTCATTAGGTTTTATGTTCCATTTATTTATTGTGTTTTCTTGGGGTTTTTGTTTGTTTGTTTTGACAGGATGTCCAATAGCCCACATTAGTCAAGTCCCTTATATCAGAAGCTGGCCTTGAATTCCTGATGCCTGTCTTCACCTCCCAAGTACCCTGTCATCATGCCAGCCTCACTAGTCTGCCCTCTCAAAGCGAGGAATCACCCACAGTGTGCAAAACTATAATTCAAAGATTACTGGTAAGTGAATGCTTAGACCAGGGTGAAAATTGTAGTGGAAATGAGAGCTAAGGATCATAACCAGGACTATTTAATTAACCATTAGAAGACCATTTAATTCTGCCTGTATTATTTATAATTAGCACAGTTCAAACAAAGTGATTAGCTGACAAGAGTAGTGTGGAAACCTCACAAATTCTTAGCATGGCTTTTTTGTGTTCTTTTTGTATTCAGTGATAACAGTCCAAATTTGATCATTAGCCATAAGAAGTATTTTTTATAATAACTATTTTTACACTTCTTACATTCATGTAAGGGCGTGTTAAAATTACTTCACTATACAGAAATGATGGTCTAAGTTTTTATCTTTACAAGTAAGCTGGAAAAGTATAATGAATTCTTGTTAGCTCACTAGTGATTGGCCCAGCACGTGCCCCCAAATCATCCACATTTGTTTTCCGCTGAACTAAAAGCATTGTTTTGAATTCTTTCATTCTCACTGCCCCCTCTTCCACTGAAAGTTGTAAGTCTGTTTTTGTTCCTCTTTTGGACACAGGCTGGGTTTTATTCCACAGAACTCTTTGCAACAGAAGACTGGATAAAAAGATCTGAAATTCTCTGTGTCTAAGAAGTAGATTGCATCGTAATTGAATTAATTGCCATATAAGAACTAATGACTAATGCATACAAACCTATTAATTTTGGCCCATTGTTGTGGTATTTAACCTGAATCCTGGTACGGATGCAGCAGCCTGGTGGCTCTTTCCTTCTCTCAGACCACTGGCGCTGCAAATGGATTACTGGCTCATTTGAGCCCTGACATTTTATTATAAAGACACATAATGGACTCAGGAAAATACATACCTGATTGCACTTGCCGATAAGTGCCCATAGGAACCACTTGCTGAAGAGCTGCTACGGGAATTATTGAGAATTGTGACCAAGGAGTTAGGAGATGTTCTTATCATGGTCTGAAGGTCGAAGCTATGATCTGACAGTGGCGATATGGACAGTGTGCGCTTTCGGCTGGGCCTAGCTGACAGCCTGGGGCTAGGAAATCTGGTGCCTGTTACAAAAACAAAACAGAACTTGATTACCTACAGCCAGAATCTATACGCTATTGACTACCACTTCTCAGTGCAAAAGGAGAGGGACAGAAGTTGGCAACTTGTGGTGACAAGTATCTCCCCTCCCCCTTGTGATCTACTGGCTACAATTGAGGAAATTAGAGCAAAATATTTATCTTCCAGGGGTTTACCTCAGAGGAGAGCTGTTTATTAATGTGCAGGCAAAATGATAAATTGCTCAACAAAAGGGAGAGACTTTTATGTGTTATCCTTCTCATTTCTAATGATTTATGAATCTGACAGCTGCTTAGATACTCCCATCATTAATTCACCACAAGCGACAAAGACAGAGGTTCCCACAGCTGCAACACAATGCCCTCTTCACTCTAACACACACCATTTTAAGGCAATGAGTTGAATGACAAAACCTGAATTAAAGCATGTTAAAATAAAGAATTTGGTGTAGTTATGCCTGCCTTTCTCCGTGGCTCCAGCAGCTAAACGTTCCCCGGCAAACTCACAGCAACACTAAAACAATATACAAAGCATTGCCCTAACCAGTGGTACCAAATTGGGGTGGTTTTGTACCCCATAAAGCATCTGACAACATCTGGTTGTCATAGTTCAGAGCATGCTATAGACATCTAGCAGGAAGAGGCCAGAATACTATCAAACCCCTCGAGTGCACAGAGCAGTCCCACCATGTAGAGCCTTGGACTCAGTGTGAAAATGGAGGGCTCCTACCCTAAAAGCCTTCTCATCTCAGCATATATATTCCATGTTGTTAATGATGGTGCTTTATAAACGTTCCAAGGTGGGAGGCATAAACTGTGCATGCATTTAGCGAAGCTTGATATCCCTAAGGATACTGAAATGGACTTTTCTTCTCCATTAAAGAACTAACAGATTTTAGACTTCAAGAAAAGCCCTCTGACGGCCTTAATCTAGAGGTTAGTAACTCAATTTAAACACATGCCCACTTAATACAGTGGTTTCTAACTGAGGGGTTACAATTAAACATGATTTGCATTCAAATTTGTTAGCTCTCAAGATCCGAGTCTTAGGCCATATAGCAGCAGAGAATGCCACCCAGTGGTCCAGTGTTTGCTTTTGGAAGATCAATTTACAAGTTAGAGTCATAAAACTAAAGCTTAATGAGAGAGCAAGAAGGTAATCCTGCCAGGTGAGAAGCAAATCAATGACAAATAATTTTAAATACAAAAAGAAGATTTTATGTTTCACAGCATGGGCATGGCAATTTGGCCTTACTCGGAAAATTAAAGTAGTAGATAAATCTTTAAAGAAAAAAATGACAAGTCAATTGACCTCCAGAAAATTCAATGGGAATATTTTCTTCAACACAGATGGAATAGTCTCTGTCTTCCTGCCCTGCCCCCCGCCCCGCCCCCACAAGGTATACGTGCGTGCCTGTGATATATGTTGGGGGGTTCCCACCAGCCTTGAACTGACAATTCCCCTTGCTAAACTAAAAGTTTGCATCACCACAAGAGACCTCAGAGATAGGCCACATACAAGATAACAATCCACCATGCTCTGAGATAATTTAATGAAAGGAAATAGATGACTGTGAAAGGCTTTACAGTTAAACCTCACCACCAGACACTAAGTAGTAGTAACATCCATATGTAACGCTGTTCTAACACTCTGAATGACAAGGATGGTGCCTTCTCAATTCTTTCTTTGAGTCACATTGAAAATAGGTTCAGTCATTTAGAACAGCTTCATTACCAGCTGACTTAGGGCATTTAAGTACAGAATAGTAAACCCAGCTCTGTATATGCTTCTAGTATCTAAGGAACATCTCGTTTTTATTATGCCCTCTGCCTTGAACATAACAAATTTCACACTGACTCACTGCAATACGCTAATTTCATCATCTAAGGTTTTAATGGAGAAATACCTGTCTTTTCCAGACAATTTGAATGACAGACCAGATTTATTGTCAGCTTTTACATAACCTTTCACAAAAACTATTTTCCTTAGGACTCAGAGTTAGAAGGAAGAAGATAAGCTAGACATTCTTCATCCCTGCCACAATCTCTGTTTTTGGTGGGGATGCTCGGGACTGACCCCAGCCTTCTAAATGGAGCCCTCACTGACAAGCAGTGATACAAGAGATAATGTGATCTGATACCATGAAATATAAAAAGCCTTATATCTACCATATATTGTTCAAAGCCAGGGTCCAGAGGCCTGGCAAAACCTTTCCATCAAACTCTTCAGGTCACAAAAGGCCTGGCTATAAAATGTCCTCACTGTTCCCCTCTCTGAGAACAGCACTGGTTTAAGTCCTTTTCTGCTCAGATGGATAGCATGGACTTCAGTGGTTCTTGCCTTCTGCTCATCCCTAGGATGCTCCTTACAGGAATTACAGGCTCAAGGTTCTTCAACTCTTAGAGCTATGAACACACCTGATTAGTCTATTAAGCTAAATATTCTAGCTTCCATGTTAAAAATCACCCCTCACGAATTATACCATGTGCTTTAGCCACTGAAACCAGAGCCCTATTTATATTTCGCAGAGGTAGGAACTGAACCCAAAGCCTTATACATGCTACGTGAAAAAGCTATCACTGAGCTATAAGCCCAGGCACAGAGGCTGGCTTCTTACCGCTCCAGCACAGGGAGTGCCAACCTAGTTTCTGTTAATTGTTTTTGTTTCTCCATTCTAATAAAAATTTCTGACAAAGAAAGAGGAGCTTTCTTTTCATGTGATGAATGATAGGATATCTAAATTCCTACTTAATGACAGTCAATTTACCATATACTCTGGCAAATTAAAATTCCTTTAATTAGTTTTTACAAAGTAAAAGGGTAGCTTCATCCTTTATTTATATATAAAAAAAAAAAAACCACTGCTGCCTGACTAAACATATTCTTATCAAACAGGGAAAGTAATGCAGGCTGACCTTCCAAGGAGTCTCTCTTATTTTAATTCTTTATTTGCAGATTTTCAAATAACTAATTTGCATAATAACAGTGAACTGCTCCCCCCACCCAGCCAACAATCACTAATTGAAATGTGGTTATGATGAATCTGAAAGTTAAGCTCTTTATGCTACTGAGCCTAACAACACAACCCCACAGAGAGTGCAACACAGTTCTTTTACTTTGTGTGTGGTAACAAGCTGTGTGATAAGAGGCCAGCACCAGGCCATACTCCTTTGGGGTACACCAACATGGTCCTGGGTGATGAGTAGACTCAGACTGTCAATTTTTATTCCTATGTGAACCAACCATCCTCTTTCCAAACTCTGAAGCTTAGGTTCATAAAAGCACCCCCGACAAGGATGACTCGAGATAGGTTCTAGCTGGAAGCGAAAGGGTTAAGCATCACTGATAGAAAAACCAGGCTTCCCTGTGGGGGGGCTTTAGCTTCATTCTTCAAAACTCTGCAAAAGGACATCCACTGAGCAGGTCCTTGTCAGAGATGAGAGCTCTGAGGTGCTCTAAAAAGCCATTAAAGGCCCATTGTGACCCAAAGGGATCCTAATGTGCCTCTGGGCACCCCTCAAGAGACACACACATCACATGATCCTTGTTCCCTTCATTGCCATGTACTAGAATTTGGAAATGTTTCTGGGTTTCTTTTTTTTCCCCGCTTTGTGTAACTATTATGAACCTTCCATGTTCTTAGCAGCTGCAAAGGGTCTTCATGAAACGCAGTTTTTAAATATAACGATATGTGAATGGAAATAAATCATGTCTTACGGTTTCTTGATTTTTTTCTTTAAATGCTTAATTTCTAAAGGATAAATTCCACGATACCATAGAGTGGCCATGCAAAGTCTATCCAGGTATCAAATCTGTACCTTTATTTTCATATCACAAGAAACAGAGCAGGATAATCTGCTGAGCAGTTACATTTCTGGTCTAGCTACCAAACTACAATTCTATGCATATCTTAGTTCACCGGGAAGCAACAGGTCATCTCAGGCTGGCCCCCTCTGGGGATCTGAAAATGTAACCCATCACCTAACCTTTGCAGCCTTCTCTCCATTACCTAGCTGGCATTTGTTACTCTCCCAGGACTCCATCAACCAGCCTTGTTACTTACTGTCCATGGCATGAATGTACTCCATGTGGATGGCCCCTGCACCGGCGGCAGTGGCAGCTGAGGGAAGGATGTCTGCATAGGGGCTACGCTGGCCCGCTAGCAGGGCCATCTGGTGATAGTACTCTGCAGGGCTGACTCCAGCATGGGGGGCTGCAAGAGGAAGCAGGATGGTGACAGTTACAAGAAGGACAGAGAGCCACCTTTTTTTTTTTGAAGCATCCCAAGTTCACTTGCCATTTATCCTCCAAACACAACTCTTTTACGGCACCATGCAATAAAGCTGTTCTAAGATGCATTCCCTGGTGTATGCCTTTATTTGAAAGCAAGAACAGAGGAATTAAAAAATAGTAAAATACTTTTTGTTCTTTATTTAAAGAAATGAACATGAATTCAAAATTTTATATATATAGATAGATACATATATATATATATATGTATCTATCTATCTATCTATCTATCTATATATATATATGTGTGTGTCTCTATATATAGCCATGTATCTTTTAAGACGGGACACATTCTGAGAAATATGTCATTCATGCAACTTTTGTCATTTGGGGATCACAGAGCAGACATGTCTATGCCAAGAAAGTAATGATGTTAACTAGACAATGTAATTTATGGGATGTTGAAAATACACAAACTTGTCCCATTGTTGGTACCAGAATGGTGGCTGTATGTAGATGGTCATGATTGACTCCCTCCCTCTGCAAAGAAAATAGTTGTCAATAGAAAATTACTATACGTTCATACTTCTTACAACAGTAGACAACTCAGACACCTGTGATGTCTTTCCAGACATACTTAAAATACTTCCCTAGGCTCCTGCCAGGAGTGTCTGAGTTAACACTCACGAACATGAGAAGTCAGAGTTTACAAGACAGAAAAAAGGGCAGCACAGCATTAATGACACACAACTGAATGATAAGCTGCAATTTCATGTTCCAGAATTTAAAAGCTCTCTTTTTCCTTTTTTCCCCCACTAGAAAATCAAAAAGAAAGTACCTATCAATCTGGAACAATTTACTGGCAAGAGTCAGCCTTACATGAGTAGGATAATAATTGGTTTCCATCTGCCAATTTACTTGCAAAAGCAGCAAGATATCGTAGCAGTTCTGAGGGTGGCCTCTAGATTTCCAGAAATGAGGTATCTGGGAGCCAAAAGTAAAGTAGTGTTTTAAAGTGCTTAGGGTATAGCATTTGAACAGTGAAGGTTTACAATGACTAGCTACAGGGAGAAGAATCCTGGCAATAGGTGTTTTAGATTTGTATCCATATACAATACTTTTTATGCGTGATAAATAGCAAAAATGGGAATCTTTAAAGTATTAGACTATAAAAGGAAAATATTAGTGAAATTATTTGGTTAGGTATTGTGGTAGTTTGAGTGAGAATGACCCCTAAAAGCATACATGTTTGAATACCTGGTCACCAGTTAGTGGAACTGCTTGGGAAGGATTAAGAGGTATGGCCTTCTTAGAGGACATGTGTCATTGGGGATGGGCTTTTAGGTTTCAAAAGTTCACACCATCGCTAACTGGCTCTTTCTCTGCCTCCTACTTGCAGATAAAGCTCTCAGCTACTGCTCCATTATCATGCCTGCCTGCCGCCATGATGTTCATAGACTCTATCCCTATGGAACTGTAAGCCCCAATGAATTCATCTTGCCTCTTCATACCAATAGAAGAGTAACTAAGACAGTTATTAATTGGAGTATTAAGAGGTAGGAAAGGGAAAACAGACCCACCCATCAATCAACAGATATTTTATTTGCACTCATTAAATGTGGACAATGAGCATGATTTCCATAAAATAACCACAAGTACCATGTCCTCGGCCAATCAAATTTCTACAAGCCAACTGCACCTTGAGCTTCTTCCTCACTCTCTTCATCTGTTCTCCTTAGGGTTATTTCTACCACCTTCCATTCCTTTATCACAAAATCAAATTCCAAGCAAAAATATTAATCATGTTTTACTTTTGGCAGGTTTTTAAAATGTGAATATTGCTCAAATGAGAAAATATATCCCTTGGGTACCCTACAAAAATATTCACTATACTGAATTCTTAAAAGGAAGACACATGGGGTGGTAACTATTTCTGGAAGATGGCTATTCCTAGAAATACATGAGAATGGATGATTCCTCAGAAACTTCCTGTATGGTGCCACTGTGCACTAACGGCCTCAGAATGTAGTTTCCATGTTAGAATGAGAGGCAAGGGAATCACAGCAAACAGTTCGGTGAAATGAACTGCATGGTATCTCTTTACTCTGCAACCACCAGCAATGGCTTATAGTCTGCAGTGAAGCATGCATAGCCCCCATCAGCAATGAGCAGGGCTTATGCAATTCTGTGTCAATATAGGCAAAGGTTCATATACACAGGGAAGATATAGTGACTATCCCCCCCCCCCAAGTCTTAAGGAATGGGTCATAACTTGACAGGAGGGTATGAATAACCAGCTCAAATTTCACAAACCTGTGTGAAAAATTATTACCAAAGAACGAAACCTACATTTTAAGCCTAAAATGAGCATCAGGAATTACAGGAATAAAGTCTCTTTCTCTTTGTCCATTGTTCAGTTTTACTTAGCATGCTCAAAGGCTGAAGGCACACATAATATGCCCCCCCACCCCACGCCCCCATCCCCAGCTCTTGATACTTTCCATGTGGCCCACGATGGACCAACAACATTAACATCACTTGGAAGCTTTTATAAGCACAAAGACTCAGGTCTCTCACTTCACATTGCTCCAGCCCCCTGATCAGGATCCCCAGATGATGCATATGCATAGCAGAGTTTGTAAAGCTCTGTTCTCAGGGACACATCTATATAAACGTGTCTTTCCAACATATAGAACACAACATTCAGTAGAAGCTGGGCAAAGCACTCAGGGAATTCACACAAGCATGGGATACTTGCAGGGCTTGTCTAATGTGTGGAGTGCAGAAGAGAAGGGCATAACAACAAGGAGGGGAGTCAGTCAGACCTTGCTTTGAGTTCCAAGTTACTTAATTTCTCTGTAAACTATTATCCTTACATAAAATATGGACATTACCACCCATGGAAGCAGTGTTGTAAGCTGGAATTCAAACTTGAACTTTGTCCCAGTGCCTGTCATGTGGAAAACCTTACCATATACTAGATCTGCTTTATACAGTGCCACAGGTAAAATGCAAGGGTGTCAGGGGATCTGTGGAAGAATTGTCTGAAACTTACCATCTGTAGGGCTCAGCCCTCGGGCAGCTGAGATCATAGAGAGGGATGGGCTGCTGTGCAAGGAGCGGATGTAGTCCATATATGGGTTGATGTAGGGGTGTGGGGGGCTGAAGGGGGACTCCGAAGCCGCAGTGGGGTTACGGTGTGGGGAGATTCTAATGAAGGGCAGGTCTGGATATGTCGGGCTACTAGATAAGGCAGAAGGCCTGGAAACAGAAAAAAAGAGACATATGCATGAGATATGCAACTCCATATGTAAAGGAACATACATATGTTCTCCACAGTCTGTGGAAAAACATGCCGTGGGAAAATTTGTCAGGTATAAACCAATTTTTTTGCATTCTTACCTTTATATTAGGATGGTATAATCCTGGTAGAAGAATACTATGAAATTAGCTGAGAACAAAAACTGATTTCTGACCTATTTCAAAGCACTCCGAAGATAGTTGGGTTGTTTTTGTTTGGTTGGTTTTTTGTTTGTTTGTTTGTTTGTTTGTTTTTTAAAAAAAGCAAGCCTTAGCTAGGTGTGGTAGTAGGTAACTGTAATACCAGAACTCAAGAGGCTGAGGTCATAAGTTCAAGGTCTACAGTAGTTATTAGTTCAAGCCCAGCCTAAGAGACTCTGTCTCAAAATGTGGATAAGGTTTTAGCTCATTGATAGAACACCTGATCACAATGTATGGGGAGCTGGGTTTGATCCTCAGTGCAACACACACACAGTCAGCCACTAGTTTCCCCCATGAAGAAAATCCTCTTAACAGCCAACTGAACTATGACTCTATTTTCCAACTAATCCAAATATTAATGGCACCATTTGAAATGTATTTCTTACTTTACAGTACTTCCTTATTAAACAAAACAATTTATCTGGTTTGAGTCTTTAGATGGCAAAGCTGCCCATAAGAAGGAAGACCATGCTGTAAGAGATGCAAAGCCAGCCTCTATACCTGCACACATGCTTCCAGAGGCCTTGCAGCTAAGGAAAACCAACTTCCACTATTTAAAGGCAACTTCTCTTTTCCACGAGGCAGTACTTAGAATTCTGCTACTGCTCATTTTTCACATGGATCCTTATTAATTACATTTAGCAAGGAACCAACAAGTGAGCAGCATCTCTGGGCTTAGAAACCTAGAAAAGTATCGGGTTTCCATCAAGCTCGGGCCCTGGTAAGTAATGAGCTAATGGAAAAGGTTTGGTTTTTTGAATGGTAAACTCTACAATGCTCTCTATGTATTTGATTTCAGAGAGTCCTGTCTGTAACTTCATCCTCATCACACACAGACATTCAGCCACTCCTGGCAACCCCAGGGACAGCCATGTCTAGAATGGTAAGCCTGGAGAGCCTTGTGCCACTGTGCTCCTTCCCTGATAGCCTGTTCCTCCTGGGGATGATCCGGGGATCTGGCTATGACAGGTTAAACGTGTGCACCACTCCCCACGTGCCCCATCTGCACAGGCCACGATCAGAAGAAGAACAGGCTCTGGTAGAGACAGAGCCACTGAGAGCACATGTTTAGGAGTGAAATGAAACAAAGTGAAATGCCACTTCCCCCCTGGAGAAGCGGAGACATTGCCACCAGACCCCTGGCCCTGTCATCCTGTCAGAATAGGATCGTAACAGAAACAGCTCCAGCAATTGTACTGGGCACGCGAAGCAAAGATCTGCTATTCTCTTCCTAGATAACAAGGTGAAATAAGGTGCTGGGAGTACAGGGATTCTCTCATTTGTAGGTGTTACTCAGATGCTACCTCTGGTGAAGTACAAGCAAACCCAGTTTCCTGAATTTATATACAAAGGATAAGAAGTCTCTAATAAACAGTTCCTGAGAATGGGGTTTTCTTAGCACTTAGTAATGTGTAAAATTACACACACACACACACACACACACACACACACACACACACACACGTAAATATAACATGCATACATGGACAGCTACTGTCTGCTATGTACTACACTATTTATGCGTCAATTTGAAAAACTAAAGGCCTTTATTCCACCTGACAAACTGGCAGAAGCTGTCGGTCTGCCTCAGCTCTCTACTACAAGAGGAGTTTGCTCATGTCTCTGGAAAACCATCCTCTAACCTCCATGTGGCCTTGGGTCACTGGTTAAATCGAGCTCCATTCAGACATGTTACCTGGTACACAGGAAGCTCACATTCACTTCTACCAGAAAGAATGGCCAATCCTTCCAATTTGACTCAAAAATAATCCTTACCAAACATAAACCCCTCAATGGGGTTTTCGCTAAGATACCAGCAGACACACCAACAGTAGCCACTTCACTGCGTCCTTAACAAGAAGACACCTCCTGGAAACACTGTGGTGATCCCCAGCAGATCGACCAATATGAAATACAAACCGGTGGGGCATGTCGCCCTTCTTGGTGGGTTATTCTGTTGTTGTTTTGTTTTGCTTTCAAGTTTGACAAAGACTAGAACCTATTCTGACTCTAATATCCTGTCCTCATCAGCCCCAATTCCACTTGGGAGAATCATGCCCATGAAGACAAATACATATTCAGAAACACATGGAAGCCATGGAGGAAGGGCTGGAGCAGTCACTCATCCCAGGGTGAGGCAAGTGAGTGGAGGCTCCAAGGTTGCTCTTCTTTACTGTATTCTGTGAAGGAGTGGCAGGTACTCCACAGCCTCTTTCTGAGCTTCGGCCACAGGAAGACTGCAAGAAGAACTACAGGAGCTTCCCAGAAGGCCTCTAGACTTAGCTATGTCATCCCTGCAAAGGTGCTGGTCTCAAGGCCATTTATATACTAGTGAGAAGCAACAGCACAGCAGAAAGGGTATGACTCCAAGAGTCGGAGATAAAGCTGGTAGACTTCAACCAGCTGCCAAATGGGTCGCAGACAGATGCGCTCAGAGATACGGATCACTGTTTACAAACAAGGTGATGGGGACAGGCTTCAGGGAAGAGTGCAAAATAAGCACGCTGCTCATTCACTGCCCCCAGGAAACAAGCCATCTGGTAAATCCAAGCCATCCACTTCTCCTGCACGAACAGGGAAGTGTTTCCCAATGGTGACTCAATGAGGACTCATCAGGAATCCTGAAGATGGACATCAGTCAGCCAGTAGAGGGAAGGTATGGGGAAGGCAGCTCCACAGCTGGCAGCTGTATGATCGAGGCAGTCTGCATCCTCACTGTGCTTTGTTGACGGGGGTGGGGTGGGGCGGGGTGGGGTTGGGTAGTGGGCTGTCTATCTTGTTCTTTATATAAATAAGTCTTATGACTGTGCCTGGTACCCAGGCTTACCCGGGGGTGGGGTGGAGCGGGGTGGGGTGGGGGGCTGTCTATCTTGTTCTTTATATAAGTCTTATGACTGTGCCTGGTACACAGGCTTATCCATAATACACAAGGGCATCTATACATCTGAACATGTAAAATTATATCTTACAACATATAAACAGGCACACATATCAGGACTGGCACATGTGGAATGCTACATAATTTCCGATCTTGAAATGCTGGGAGTTTTGGGTTTTAAAGACATTCTAGCCAGGTATGCTAGTGCACACCTTTAAACCTTTAATCTCTGCACTCCTGAAGTGTGTGATTTCTGAGTTCGAGGTCAGCCTGGTCAAATGAGAGAGAGAGAGAGAGAGAGAGAGAGAGAGAGAGAGAGAGAGAGAGAGAGAGAGAGAGAGAGAGAGAGAGAGAGAGACTCAGAGCAAATGCATATTCACAGCAAAATCAAGCTATCAAGCTGCAGTACACACTTCTGGTCCCCTAACCACACACAGGCAGATTCTTGGCATTGTCAATCTCCTCTAAGAAAGAGCACAGGGCCTTCCACTCGGCTTCTTTCACTTAGTGATAAGCACTTGTTTCCTTAAATGTTCTTTCGCTGATGAAAACCTTCCTTCCTCCCTATTGTGTGTGTTCACTCTGTGCAGTAATGGATTTCATTATGATGTTTATACGTGTATATAAATGAACTAGGTAAGATTCATTTGCTGTTATCTTCTTTTATCCCACATCCTCATGTGCACCATTCACAAATAGTTCAATTTCTTTTTTTTTAAATCTAGATTCCACATGACAGAAAATAAATAATATGTGTCTTTGAGTTTTGCTTGTTTGAACATAATTTTCCATTCCATCCATCTTCTTGGAAATGACATAATCCTGTTTGTCTTTAAAAACTCATTTCTTTTCAGCATCATGTAATACTCTATTAATCAGATGAGCCACAGTTTACTTATCCATATCACTACTGAAGGTATCATGGACAATTGCAAATTTTGGAAGTTACATTTATAGCTGCTATGAGCATCAATTTATAGTCTCCAACGCAGCAACTTGAATAAGAGTCCTTTTGTCCTCATCCCTGAAGAGCCTCCTTGGATTTCCCAAGACTCTCTTGGTAAAGTCAGAGAACCACATGAGGGGCTAAGATCATGAGCTCACGAATGAAATGAGGGCCTTTGGTGAAAGGACCCGAATGGGGGCTACAACTCACTCCGACTCACATGAGATGGGTGTACTGGGACACCAGCAGCTTTCTCCCTGCTGCTGTGAGAGCTAGAAGGCACACATGCAAACTCGATGCTCATTTTTGAAACCGGCCAATAAAACCTCTTTCATTCTACAGCCAATAAACAATGTCCAAATGATAATTCAGCTTCCAAGCATTGCAGTGGCTGTGGGTCTACCTTCCATACTGCTCCATTTCTCTACATACTCTGAGGTGGACTTCCACATCAGACCCTATGTGGTGGTTTGAATAAGGATGGTCCATAAAAGCTCATATATTTGAATGCTTGGTCATCAGAGATGGGTAGTAGAGCACAAAAGCACCAACAGAAGGCATCTAGGATATACAGACCATGAAACATGAACCATTAACCAGGATTCAGGCAGAGAGGACAGATAGGTAACCACGACAGCTAAGTTCACATATTGAATTTCTCATAGTAGTCACAATAAATTAAATTTAGAAAAAAAAGTACAGATATACAATATTTTTCAAAATGTATAAAAAGTTTGGTGATGCCCCTCCCCGCCAAGACAGAGTTTTCTCTGCATAGCCGTGGCTGTCCTGGAATCTGCTCTGTAGACCAGGCTGGCCTCAAACTCACAGAGATCTGCTTGCTTCTGCCTCTGGAGTATTGGGATTAAAGGTATGTGTCACCAGTGTCCAAAAAAAAGTTTGGTGATTTTAAAAGTAGAATAAATAATACAATAT